AAAAATGCAAGCAATGATAATCCTTAACATGTGTTCAATGTTTTAGACTTGTTCCAATAATCCTGAAAGAGACAGACGGTGAGACCCAAACACTGGGCATGACAGGAAGGTGTAGGGGCAATTCTCCTCCTAAGTGTACATCCGAGAGAAACTCTTGCACGTGGGCCCCAGAGACATGGGTAAGAATGATCATAGCAGCCCAATGTATGACAACACAAAACTGGAAATAACCCAAGTCCCATTGACAGGAGAAGGGATTATTGGATGTTAAATAACAGTGAAAATGGTTTTGACCCCTGTTTTTATAATGTATTGCTGCATAACAGACCATGTTGGAACATAGTGCAAACACAACCATTAATTTGCTCAAAGTTCTACAATTTAGGCAACAGCTCATTGGCGATGGTTTGTCCCCATTTCGTGTGCCTTCAACTGGGGAGGCTCCACTGTGGCTGAAAGCTCAGCTTTTAAGATGGTCCCACTCACAGCTGGCACTGATGCTGGCTGTCAGCTGGGAGATCGGCTGGCCCTATTGAGGGGGAGACCCTCTGTTGTCTTGCATGTGGCCTCTCCACATGACCTTTCACAGCATGGTGTTCTCAGACTAATCAAACTTCTCACTTGTAGCTCCAGGTCCCCACATATGCAAAAGCAGAAGTTGCTAGGCCTTCTCAAGGGTTAGGCCTAGAATGGGCACAGGGTTACTTTTGTCCCATTCTGTTGGCTAAAAGAGGTACAAGTCAGACATACTCAACAGGGGGCAACTACAAAAGAGTGTACCTCCCCAGAAGTGCACTGCGTTGGGTGCTTCCACAGCAGACTTCCACAAACCATAGCCACCCACAGCCACATGTCTAAATCTTAGGTAGGTTCTGCTGCAATAGCAAATAACCTTCACATTTCAGGGACTTTCACACAACAAAGAGTTACTGCTTTCTCACATACATATCCCACACAGGTAGGTGGGGTGCTCTGCTCCACACAGTCACTCAGGAACCCAGGCTGATGGAGGCTCCCCCATGTTGAGATGAGACCTCACTTTTGCCAGAGCCGTGGAGGACAGAAAGGCTGGAGAATTTCAGCTAGTCTCAGTCCTAAAGAGACAATGTCACTTATGGCTACATCTCATTGGCTAGAGCAAGTCACATGACCTTGTCTAACCTAGAGCGGGCTGCTGGGAAAAGTAGAAGAGCACGTAGAAAAATGGGTGAGTATTAAAATTACTGTCTTGGCCACATGTGATAAAATCGTTGGAAACAAAAGAAAGTACAACCTAAAATTCAAGGCAGGGGAGGAAGGGGTCCAGATAGGAAATTTACAGGTAGGTATCAGTGATCTGCAAAGGCCCTGCAGCCTAACCACAGAGTGCAGGCTAAAAACAGCACTTCCATAAATATTCACTGAGCTCCAGCCGAGTCTGCTGGGCCTCAAAGGTACAAAGATGAATAAAATATGGGCTCATCCCCTCCAGGTTCCCAGCTCAGTTGATGCAGTAGGCACATAAACCAAGCAGGCCAGCAAAGCCCGGTGGAGTGGATTGCTCCCCAGGAGCTCTAGGAGCCAGAGGGAGCTCTAGGAAGGCCTCCCTGCAAAGGGTCATGTGAGTTGGGCCATGAGGGATCAGTAGGAGTTCAGCGGAGAAAGAAATGAAGGTGGTGTAGGTAGGTCAGAAACAGTTATTCTAGGAAGAGGGAACTGTATGTGCAACCCCTGACTCCTCAGGTGGCCTGTGTTCACTGCATTTCCTCACCACCTTCTAGTTCTTAACTGTCTTGTCAACTCGTTCACATCATGCTGTGCCACCCAGAACCCTCTGCAGACCCAGGCACTCATCGTCCCCACTGGCTGTTGGGAATATTGGCTGCTAGTGCTTACAGTTGAGTCTTTTATTAGCAATCAGTCACAGATAAGGGAGCTCTCTTGCCCAAGGTCATGCACCCCCTACTCCAGGGGTAGCCACATCCAAATGACTGGCATATAAAGGCCCTGCCTCTAGCTTCACTGCAGGGAACTCTGCAGGACCATCCTAGCTCTAGAGTCCCCTATGGGCTCAACTGAGGCCTCTTGGGCTTCCGGTCTCCATCACAGCTCAACTCCTCCCTCTCAGCCCAATCCTGCTTCCTTTGTACCCCAGGTGCTGATTGTGCATGCACTCTCCAAGGAACGTCCTTCGAGCAAATCTCCACTTCGGAGTGCGTATTCTGGGAAACCTACCAAAGATACCACTGAAGTGAAGTGATTACTAAATTTCAACGGATGCCTTCCTTAGAGGTGTTTGTATGGCAATAATAATAACTAATATTCATAGAGTGATTCTATGTGCCAGGCACTATGCTAAGCACTTTGCCTGTATGATCTCATTTAATAAAGAACAAAATTCATGCTAAAGGAATGAATTTCTCATGGTGAAATTTCAGGCTTAGGCAAGATGAAATTTCCAGCTCAGGGATGCTGGCTAGAAATATTTGTGTGGCACAAATTCTGTCACAAATCTCTGTCTCACTCTATGATCAGTCCTGATCTTCATTGGCTGGGTAAAGTCCTCATCGGGTCACAGTGGTGGCTCCCAATCTCACTCTTCCTTAAAAAAAAAAAAAAGCAGGGGTCTCACTTCTCAGGAGCCAGTGTGGAGGTAAATTTCTCTGAAAGCTGACTGCCCCAATTTGGGACTCCCCGAGCCTTTTCTGAGAAATGGTGACATTGTTCCCAGCACTTCCTCTCCCTTCTTGGGAAGTTCCTGCAGCCACCATTGAGTCCTCCTCACATCCTCCTTTTTCAGGCATGGGCTTTCTGCGTTTCCTTTCCATCAGCTCCCTCCTGGGTTGGGGCTGATCTGGGCCTCCTTGTCCCCCTCCCTGACTGAGCCTTGCTCCACCCCTAAGCTGCCTGCTTTCTGGGAGCTTACCTGGTCAGCAGGCCGTGGCCCTGACTGGCTCTCCGGCCCTCAGGAACATGTCCCAGCATGTTGAGACCTGCCGTAGAAGAGGCTGATGACTGTTTTGTCCTTGGGGCTGCCTGCTTAGAGGGTAGTAGGAAACAGGAGAACCCCAGAGACCCCAGGGAGACCTTAGGCTGAGTTTTTCTGAAGAGAATATGTGATTTGCAGCATATCCCTTGGGAATGGCCTGAGATTTGTTGTGTGTACACACCTGTGTGTGGTTTTGTTTGTTTGTTTGTTTGTGGAGTCAGATTTCCTGTGTGACTTATAACAACTTGCTCCTTTACCCTCTTCAGGGCAGAAGTCCTCCTTCAAGATCATGCCTGGCTGCACATTCAAGTGTATGGCTGGAAACACTCAATAGGTGCTTTATAAGTATTTGTTGAATTCTATTGTGGTGGTGGTGGTAATATTGAGCTAGAAGTTAAAAACAAAACAAAACACCAAAAACCTCACTTCCCAATAACAACAGAAAGAATTATTTCATTGTGAAGCTCTGTGCCACAAAACTGTAAGTAGTTCAATACAAGCCTTCATTAAAATGTTTTCCCCCAAAGTAAATAGTCAGACAATGTCAAGTCTGTCTGAAATGCCTGAAAGCCCAGGGGATTCAGGGCAGTAGGAGGATGTGTCTGTCTTCTGTTGGACTTTTGACAACCCAGCCTTTGGGTGGTGTGGTGTCTGTGTGTTGGGGGTGGGAGGGAGGCAAAGGGAGGAGGAGTTTGTCCTCCCTGAGGTCAGCTGTGCTAGAGGGAGAAGACTGGGCATGTCCGGGCAGAGATTTCCAGACACTGAACAGCCCTAGATGTCAATAATTATAGCTGCTCTAAGCCTGGATTCTACTTTTTAGTGGGATTTCTATTCAGATTTACACCATTCTCTGCACATTCTTAAAAGCAGAAACTGCAAATGTTATAGATGAAGGAAGGGGGAAAAGGTGGGGGCTCAAGGGGAGCTAGAGATGTGGAGGTTCATGGGAACATAAGGGCACCTCACTTGCTTCTGTATCTGTCAGAGGCACCAGGGGGCATTTCCAGAATTGTTCTTCCTCAGTGTCGCCTCAGTGGAAATGAGGGGTCCTGGGTGTTTCCCTCATTCTAGAGCCTCTGAAATAGAGAGGGCAATAAGCAGAGAACTCTGGGCAGGAGGCAAACACCTGTGATCCAACCGTGGCCACTTATTTGCCGGGTGATCCGAGTGAGGTCACTGACCTTCTCTGAGCCTCAGTTTCCCCAGCTCAGTTTTCTCATTGTGTGTGGCCTGTGCGGGCAACACCCAGGAGCTAACTCATTCAGCAAGCCCTTCTGCCCTTCCTAGCCATGAAACCTGTGGCAGTCACAGAGGTCTCTTCTGTGGAGGTGAGAGAGGTGAGTGTGAGGAGTGAGGAGGAGGGTGCGGGGAGGTCTGCTCAAGGCGGATTTCCCCCGAGACCAGGATGCCCCTTCTGAGAGGGGTCCCCAGTTCCTTGCCTGAGGCATGGCCAAGCAACAACTTCTCATCCCTTTAGTTCTGTGGGCCTCGCCTGGGAAATAAAGGGGGCTGAATCTGCTTCAGGCCTTCGGGAGGCTTTGTTGGGGTGTCTGGGTGTCCCTGGTGCTGGGGTGCCGCAGTGTAGTGAGGGATCTGTGGGGCTAGTGGTGATATCATGTGGGGCTTTCTGGGAATTGAAAAGTGAGACGCATTATTGTTATTATTTGTGGATTTTTATTTACTATTAATGTCACTCCTTGTGATCTTTTCAGGGCCAGAAAATGGCTTATCTTAATAGTGCCGTCCCTCCTGGTGTGTGCCAACTCACTCCCCAGCCCGAAAAACCTCCACATTTGGCGCTCAGTTCGCAGGGAAAATGGTCAAGAGCAGAGCCCGCGAGCGCTGGGTGCTGGGCAGAGGGAATCGGAGGACGAGAGGATGGGGAGCGTCTTCGGGGACGAGGATGAGGACGAGGACTAGGAGGACGAGGACGCGCGGGTGTCTCAGCCGAGGGCGGTTCCAGGCTCTGTGAGCAAAGCAACCAGTCCCGCCTCCTGCAGTCACCGCTATAAAAGGGCCGACCAGCGGCAGCCACTGAGCTGTGAGCTGCGAGCTGCTGCCCGAGTCGGTGGCTTGGAGATCCGGAGCCGGTCGCGATTCACCGAGACGCGGAGACCCGCAGAGGTGAGGGAGCGGGGTCGAGCCGGAGCGGACCCCGCCCGCGCGGGCGGCTGGGAGCCTGTGTCCGCGCGCGCCCGTCCTCCAACGGGTGCGCGGGCGTGTGTGTCCAGTGTGCGTGCTGTGTCCCGCAGGTGAACGACGTGCGCGGGTCTCGGTTTTGCTTACACGGGTGTGTGGAAGTGCGCGTAGGACGGGAGGCGGGATGTGCCGGAGGCTCGGCGCACAGAGGCACTTGCGTCGGAGGGGCGCGTTGCCGCTCTCCCCTCCCCTCCCCTTGAAACTCCGCCGGGGCGAGGAGGGCGTGCACGGGGCGCGGCCGGCTCGCGGCGTGGGGATGAAGCCTCTGTCGGCTGAGGGCCGGCAGGGGCAGGAGCACCCAGCGCAGCAGGAGGTTCATCAGGGACCCAGTCCCCGGCGCCCCTCGGGTGCGCCCCTCCGGTGTGCCCCTGCCCTGATCTCTGAGGTCTGCGTCCCCGACGCCGGAGTGTCGGCCGCCGGGCTGGGCGTTGAGGTCAGCGCGGGCTGTGTCTCCAGCTTGGGGACGAGTCGGGGCATGTCCCTTAAGGGCCAGCGAGGAGGTGAATCAGGGTGACAAGGAGACCCCCGAGAACACAGCCGGAGCCGCGGGGCAGTTGCGCCCCCGAAGTCCCCTTCTTTGCCCCTCCGAAGTCTGTCAACGCCCCCGCCCCCATCAGCACAGTGACCTATTTGGCTGGCACAAAGTGTTCCCGGGGAAGCCAGGACTCCGGGAGGTCCAGCACCGGGTGTCCGGTCCCTGCCCTGCGGACCCGGAGCCGCGGCCGCGCGCCGGGTGGGTTCACCGCAGCCTGTCAGTGCGGGGAGCGAGGGCGCCCGCCCGCCTCTCTGTCTCCGCGGCCCGTAGACCCCGGCCCCGCCGGCGCTCGCGACGGGGTGGCTCTCTGCTGGGCGGAACGGAGCCCAGCTCTGCGGGGAGACTGGGCGTGCGGTCCACGCCCGGGTGGGAGGCGGGGTGTGTCGAAACTTGGAGGGGCGAGGCTTCCCGGGGCGCGACGCCGCTCGGTCCTCTTTATCGGGCGCTGGGGCGTCCCGGACCTCGGCCAGAGTTCCCTCTCCCAGGGCGGCAGGGCTGAGCCAAGCAGGGGGGCGATTCGCCCTTCGGGTGCCGCCGCCCAGGCCGGGACCCGCTGGGGACACTTCGCCCAACGGCGGAAAAGAATCTTGGAACAGGGTTGGGCACTTCACGGTGTCCAGGCAGCGCCCTCCCTCCGCGTCGCGTTTCGGGGAGGACTTTCGAGCGGTTTTGTTTTTTTTTTGCTCCCGTCTATTTTTATTTTCTAGGGATCTGACTCATCCCCTGCTTTGGGCGTGGAGATAAGGTGGAGGGACTAGATCACTGCGCGCCTGTGTGCGTGTGTGTGCGCGTGCATGAGAGAGAGAGAGAGAGAGAGAGAGAGAGAGAGAGAGAGAGAGAGAGAGAGAGAGAGAGAGAGAGAGAGAGAGAGAGAGAGAGTGAGTGTGTGTGTGTGTGTGTGTGTGTGTGTGTGTGTGTGTGAGACAGCGATGGCGCGACAGTTCGCGGTTTCCCAACAGTGGAGGGGGTTTCGGAAGCTTGGCTGGGTCAGCGTGACGTGTTCGCGGCCCGTGGTCCCCTCCCGTCCCCCTCCTTTCCCAGCTGAGAATGACGCGCAGCCTGAGTGGAAGCTAAGTTTTGGCGGGCAGGGCGCACTTTGCAGGAAACTGACTCATCACCGTTCGCTCCTGCTGACCAAGCCTCTGCCCTCGCACCTCCCACACGCGCGTGATTTCCTGGAGACGAGCGACCCCTCCCGGCCCCAAAGCGAACATCACACATGCCTTCCCGCGGAATGCGATTTCACCCGCCTTCCTTCCCGCGGCTACTCCCGGGATTATCCCAGGTCGCTACCCCCACCCTCACTCTACCCTCTAACGGCCCCTAAAAAGAGTACCCCATTGGTTCAACAGTGTTTGCTGAGTGCTTAATATTTACTTGGGAATTAAAATTGGTTGAAGTCTAAGGCACTAAGGCCAACGAAGAAAAGTATTGTCAATTACTGGTTTGTGAAACAAAGGTTTGTGTTTGTGAGTCCCTCTGAGCTGGGAGTTATGATAATGGGCGCCAGAGCAGATTTTGATGGGGCCCCTATGAGAGTTGTAAGGGAAGGGGTGGGAGAAGGAGAGAGGGTCCCTGCCTGGATTCTGGTCCTATCTTCAGCTCCCAGAAGCCAAGGAACATTCAGCTTCCTGATAGAGCCCTAAGGGAGCTCCTCCTCCTGCTCCAAGGCACTGAGACCTAGACTGTCCGTTTCAGCATCCTGTGTGTTCTCTCTTGTGCGCCCATCTGGGAAACTGCCAAATACTTGCTTAAATCCCACTAAATTTTGAATTAATTGGTCTGGGGAGGGAAGGGCTTACTGACCTACATTTTTGTAAAAGCTCTTCAAGTGATTCTGATGGGATTTTCTGCGTAAGAAACCTCAACATTAGTGAGGGAGTAGGGTTCCACACCAGAGCACACAACTCAGGACAAACAGTCCTGGGTTCAAATCCTGGGTGTGCTATGTGTGAGCTGTGTGACCTTGGGAAAGTTACTTAACTTCTCTGAGCCTTGGTTACTGCTTCTGTAAAAAAGAGCTAATACATCTATTTTTAAAGGAAAATTAATATTTATGAACTTCTTAGAATATTCCTGGCCCATAAAAATATATAAATATATTTCAATCCTTGCCCCAGAGACAATGGGCAAAGGTTATTTGAAGGCTCTGCACTGTATAACTTCTCCAGGGGGCAGTGACCTTTGACATTTTTTTAGCTGTATGGTTTGGGGGCAAGTATCGTGTTCAAAATCCTGCCCTTTAAACTTGGCCTGAGGTCACCTAGTGCCTCCCCTCGTCCCCTATCAGCTGAGACCCGAGCTGCACTCGTCGTGAGCGGAGCGGTAGGTGTGTCAGAGCTCCAGAGCTTCCTGCCCCAGGACGTCCTTCAGCAGAGCTTTCACCCTCAGACCTGCAAATCAGGACTTGTCCCCAGGAAAACCTAGTCCCTGCTGATGTCACGCAGCCACTCAGCTCGGCGCTGGAGTCAGGCAAGAGCAGGGCAGGTGGGAGCCAGTGCTCACCTGGCTTTCCCTCTCCTGAAGAGGGAAGAGAGGGACTGAGTAGACCAGCCACCTTTGATTTTCTTCGCCTGTAAAACAGGTTCGTTGGATGCAGGCAACATGGGGCAGGGCCTTCAAGGCTGTCTAGACTTCAGATCACCTGGTGGGTCTGGCAGGAAGTGGTTCAGCCTGGGAGAAATCAAGGCTCTGCCCTGCCCTGCCCAGCTCCTCCTCAGCCCCAGGCCACTGGCCTGATGACATCCTTGTGAAAGGCTTAGTCTACAGCACCTGTCAGCTACTGTCTGACTAGGAGGTGGTGGCCTGCGGGGTGGCGGGGAGGCTTGGGGAGTCTCAGCCAGAACTGAAGGCAGAGAGGAACAATAATACTTCTGTTTTCCAAGCACTTCTATATACCAGGTGCTGGTCTCAGCACATTCCCCACTCAGTTAATCCTCCCATCTGTCCTCTGGGACATCTACTGTTGCCTCCCTTTACACATGAGGAAAATAGAGGCCAGAGAAGCTAAGCCACCTGTCCAGTGTCAGCCAGCAGAGCCTGGATTCCACCCGGGCAGTCTTGCTCCAGAGCCTTGGCTCCTAACCACAAGGTACAGACTGTTAGCTCTGTTCCGCCTGCCTTGCCTAGAGGGACTCCTGACCGATTGCTCCATCGTATTTCAACAGCCATGCTCTTTAAGCTTTCACAAAGCCCCATTATACAGATGAAGAACTGAGGCCCAGAAACATTAAGTGACTTTGTAGAGTTTAGATAGTAAGCAGCAAAGGTCAGCCTAGATCCCAGGTGTTTTTTATCCCAAAGTCTAGGGTACTTGTGTTAGAGCAGGGTTACTGCACACAGGCATCTGGGCAGGGGATTCAGGAGGCTAGAGGAGCTGTCAGCCTGTCCATGCATTTGGGAACTGACCTCCTGGCCAAGGCTGGGAAACTGCTGGACTCACAATTCGCACGTACTTGGGGCATTCACACCCATGAGGGACACCTCAGGGGCGGGAAAGTAAATTGATTTTAGCTGATAAAACCGGGTGGTAAACAGACCCCTGATCCCTGCTATTGCAATAAACTGTTGACATAAGTTTGCCCTTCAGCTTCCCGCTCTCTCAGTCATCCTGGGGTGCCATGCTGGCTGAGCTCTGCCCCACCCAGTGTTTGTTGGTGGGAGATTGGGGGCCCCATGGGAAAGAGATGGTGGAAGGACACCCTCACCTCCTATTCTAGCAGGAAGACCTCACCTGAGCAGGACCTGGTAAGAGGACCCAATTTCCCAAGTGACAAGGCCTTTCTTGTGTCTCAGCAGCAGGCACCATGTCCGAGCCGTCCCGTGATCCCCGTCCGATCCCCCGTGGCAGCAAGGTCTGCCGTCGCCTCTTCGGCCCAGTGGACAGTGAGCAGCTGCGTCGAGACTGTGATGCGCTAATGGCCAGCTGCGTGCAGGAGGCGTGTGAGCGATGGAACTTCGACTTTGTCACTGAGACGCCGCTGGAGGGTGACTTCACCTGGGAGCGTGTGTGGGGCCCGGGCCTGCCCAAGGGCTACCTGTCTGCAGGGCCTCGGGGGATCCAGGACAACCTGGGAGGAGGCAGGCGGCCCAGCAGCTCACCTGCCCTGCTGCAGGGGACAGCTCAGGAGGACCACCTGGACCTGTCACTGTCCTGTACCCTTGTGCCTCACTCCCCTGAGAGGCCTGAGGTGTCCCCAGGTGGACCTAGCACTTCTCAGGGCCGAAAGCGGCGGCAGACCAGCATGACAGGTGAGGACAAATACAGGGAGTGACACTGCAAGGGACCAAGACTCATAATTCATGGTGCCAGGGCTGACCTGTCTCGTCCACTTGCTCATTATAAGGAGGAAACAAGCCCAGAGAGGGGAAGTGACTTACTTGAGGTCACACAGTCAGTCTGCAGCCAAGACCAACTAGCTATCATTTATTGGGAACATTTATTAAATGCCAAGCCCTTCACTAAGTTTCTTAGGTGGATTTCATTTAGTCCTTACAGCAATCCATATGACATTCCTGCCACCCTGTTATAGGCAAGGAAACAAGGTTCAGAGAGGTAGAGTAATTTTCCTAATGTCACACAGTGAATTTGCAATGAAGAGAAAACTAATGATAATGATTTCCTGGCTGCCCTATCCAAACTTAACTCCCCTTCCCTCACCACACACACACACATGCATGCCCGCGCACACACACGCACGCACACTTCCTGTCCATCTGCCCTGCCTATTTTGTTCATTTTGGTACTTCTTACCCTCAACAGCTACTTCCTTATGTTGATATTGCCCATCTCCCCCATAGGATATTATCTCCACGGGAAAGGGCTCTATATATGTCTTGCTCATCACTGAATCCCAACCTAGAATGGTGCCTGGCACATCATAGGTGCTTGATAAATAATGAATGAGTGATGCTGACATTGAGCACACACTAGGCCAGGCCCATGACCAAAACCTTTGTAGAGAGCGTTTCATTTAATCCTTGGAGTAGCATACTAGTGTTTACCTCATTTTACAGCTGAGGCTTGGTGAGACGCAGCCAAGAGTCCCACAGCAAATTTGCAGCGGGGTCAGAACTAACAATAAGGATAATAGTAACCGCTGACGTCCATATGGCCCTGACATTGCGCAGAACACTTCCACGGATGGTCTGATGGTCATCCCTAGAGCAGTGCTGTCCAACAGACTTCCGCGGTGATGCAATGACATGGTGCCACCAGCCACAGAGACTTCCTGAGTACTTGACGTGTGGCTAGTGTGACTAAGAAAGTGAATTTTTCATTTCACTTTATTTTAGTTAATTTAAATAACCACCTAGGACTGGTGGCTACAGTACTGGGCAGTGTGGGTTAGAGCAGGCCCAGGGATGCAGGGATCGTGGGATCAGTCATGTCTGTGCAGTGGGTTGCTCTGTAGACACCCTGGGAGATAGGGTGGCAGTTGCCAGAGTTCTTCCCTGTACTTGGCAATGTGTCCCTTTGGCCTGAGGGAGGGGTCCCGGCCCCCCCACAGTTTGCCTCAGTTGGGCAGCTCTCTGCACCCTCTTCCTCCTGGCCTGGCTAACTTATGCTCTCTTTCCTTAGATTTCTATCACTCCAAACGCCGGCTGATCTTGTCCAAGAGGAAGCCCTAACCCGCCAGCTGGAAGCCTCTCGCTCCCGGAAACATGGGCTCCCCGCAAGCCCATTCTACATCTTTCCGCCTTAGTCCTACAGTTTGTGTGTCTTAATTATTATGTCTGTTTTAATTTAAACTCCTCCTCATGTACATAGTCTGCTTGTCACCACCCTCCCTCCCCTGCCAGCAGCTGGCATTAGAATTATTTAAAGAAAACATTAGACGGCAGAATGATACACTCATAGATTGCCCAGATATTTTTATTATGCAAACTTTTATTTAAAACCTCCTCATTCTATGCTCTACTTCTTTCCTCCCTGAGGTCAGGTGGGGCCAGCATGACCCTCACCTGTTGGGTGGTGCTTTCTGGAGGGGTCTTTTTCCCTCTGGTCACTGTCTCATGGACAGTGTGAAATTCCACTCCTGTCCTTCATTCTCAGAACTGAATTCCTTATAATTTGAGAAGTAAAAAGATAGCACTTTGAAGAGGACCCAGTGGAGTGAGGACATAATCCAAACTTGGGAGTCCCCTCGCTTCCTCTAAGGTTGGGCATGGTGACCTTGAAGTGGGCACAGCCTGGAGCAGAGTGGGGGACTGGCACCCTCCTGCCCCTTGATACTGACTCTTTCCTGTGACGGCACGGGGCAGGTAGGGTCCTGTAGCAAAGTCCACCTCCCCTCATGCCCCCCTTCTGCCCACAGGGGTGGCTGCCACCCTGTTGGCTTCCCTGGGACTTTTCTAGGAGCCTTAGGTTCCCCTCTTTTCCAGCTGGGCTCTCAAGTCCCCTCTGCTCCTCTCCCTCCTCCACATCCTTTCCCTCTGGTCCCCTCTCAGCCCTGGGTAGCTGCTCTGTGGGGCTCGTCCCCCAGCGCAGTTGACTGGAAGGGAGGGGCACACTAGAAGCAGGTTCCCCGGTTCTACCTCAGGCAGCTGGAGCAGCAAGCATCCCCTCCTCTCAGCTCTGGGGGTATGAGTCCTGGGTGGTCGGACAGGCCTCCGTGAGTGGGGCTCTGTCTGTGATAGCGGCACATAGGTGGGGGGAGCAGATTTTTCTGGGAGGAAGAGCATGACACCAGCCCATGGAACTCATCCAAGGGCCTTTCCCACCTGCTCCACCCCTCCCCCATGTCATCGCACTTTGAATAGCAACTGATCAAGGAGTCAGGTGTTTTAAATGGTGGGAGCAGAGGCTGTGGATTGGGTTTGCCAAGTGGGCTAATATGGGCCTGGGAGTTGTGAGTTATCTTTCCTGACACTGAACATTGGGCCTCTAGAGGGACTGAAGCACTTCGTGGGTCTGCTCCAAACGCCTTTCAGCTCCTGTAACACCTGGCCCGGACTGTTCTCTCTGCCTCCCCTTGTGTCCTGGTTCTCCTGTCTTTTCCTAGACTGTGCACATCTCAAGGGCAGAGGCCACGTCCTGTATTGCTCTGTGTCCTTCACAGCCTGTCTCCCCCCCCCCCCCCCACCACCCAGTGCTGGCCATACAGCAGGTGCTCAATAAATCAATAAATATTTCTTGGTGACTTTACTTGTAAATATACCTTGTTATTTTTAAGAACAAGTAGGTGGGGGTTTTTTGGTGGTTTTTATAACTTAAAAAATTAACCATTTAAATTTAAAAAATGCAAAAAGCTTAGCAAACAGAGCCATGAGGCAAAAAACAACAACAACAGACAAACAAGAACAAAATAAAAACAGTAAAGCATCACCTCTGCGAAGACCACCCCTGTCAATATTCTGGTTTGTTGCATGTTTTTTTTTTTAGTAAAGAACATATTGTAGCTTGACATCATTACTCATCAGGGAAATGCAAATTAAAAGCACGATAAGATACCGCTAGGCACCTACCAGAATGACTACGATGAAAAAGGCTGACAATGCAAAGTGTTAACAAGGGTACAAAGCAACTGGAACACTTACACCTTGCTGGTGGGAATATATTCCAACTGCTTGGAAAGCCGGCAATACCTTCTAAAGATGCCTCCCCTCCTGCCTACCTCCTGGACCCTCCTGCCTACCTCCTGACCCAGGAATTCTATTTCTATATTTGTTCTCAAGAGATATGAGTACAGACTTCCACCAAAATACATGTTCATAGCTGCATCTTTCTTAACAGACTCATACTGGAAACAACCTAAATGTTCATAACAGAAGAGTAGATATGTCAATTGTATATCTTTATACAGTGGGATACTATACAACATTATAAAAACGAAGTGTTTTTATACACATGTTCCGATTATCTGCTCATAATGAACCACCCCAAGACTTAGTGGCTTAATACAATAATCTTTTATTTGCTACCAGTTATGCAGTTTGGCCAAGAGCTACTTTTCAAATGTTAAATCATTCCCTGCTGTTGGGCATGGCTTTCTTCCAGAACCCTGGGGGTCAGAGATGAGGCTCTCCCAGCGGGGCTGTCCAGAGACTTCACGGGGTTCACTCGTCTCCCGTGTAGATTTCGGCTGCCGTGGGAAACGCTGGGTTGAACTGCCCGGGTGCTTGTCCCTCTGCACGAGCCCATCATAGAGACCTCTTTTGCTCTGACCACTCAAACAGGGCAGCTTCCCAAGTCACCCAGTAGATGGGCTGGAGCATAAGCCAATGGCCTCCCCAAACCCACATTGGTCCCCCTGGGTTATGCCTCTTTTTAGTGGTAGAATGTCCCTAGTATATAACTTGTCCTTTCCCATAAGAGGAACATCCCAGTGTGCCCCAGTTCATTGACCACTTAAAACTTAACTGACACAATACATCCCTTTCCTCATGTGGATTGGAAAGAATGCATTGGCCATATTATTAGATTCTTATAGTCAAAGGTTGGGTAGATGATTCTAGCAAAGATACCATATGTGACATAATGGTTGCAATTAGAGGTACCATGTTGCTTCATTTGGTTGTTACAGGAGCTGTATGGGGTGGATTGGATGGGGGATATGATCCGGCCACCCCACATCCTTTGAGATAGGACTGATCTCTGTAATTCCCCCCCAGGGTTTTGTGGTATGGCTTCCGATTTATTAGCTTGACTAGTGGAATACTTTTATAGACTTCTATTTGGTTCTTCTTTCCATAATGGTTTTTATTTTATGGATTAGGGAAGTAGTGTGGGGGTTCTGCCATCTGCTAAGTCTATTCATCCCAATTTGCATTTAGGAGCTAGGAAATAACCACAGAGGGGGTTCACAGACCCACTGGACTCAGGTGAACCTGGGCAGGACTCCACATGTCCCCTACTCAAAAAGGAGGATATAATGCTATTTTGGGTCCTCTGGAACAAGGGTAAGCTCAGACTCTACCCAATAGACCTCAAAAAATTTGGTCACCCCCTTTCCATACTATACGGCTATTCTGGTAAATAGCAAGAGGGCACCTTGCGGAGAAGAACTGAGAAGGTATTTATTTTACATATTTTCAGTGGCATTGTGGGTCTGGGCTGAGAACTGTCTCCAACATGGAAACCAGTGGGAGGCTGTTACGTTTTATCGTAGCCTCTGCTCACCGCCTTGATCCGTTGTGGTTAAGTCAAGCAACATCCTCACTGAATGCTCGTCTCCCTTCCCCTTGGGAACCACAGCCACAGGGCTCTGCAGATCAAGGACCCCTGGTTACCATTCAGGCTTTGCGCCTGCCTTGCCTCTGATGATTCAGTGGCCCTATGTGGCCTCTGCTCCTCCTGGATCCTAGTGTCTCTACAGACAGCTCCCGTGGACTCCATGGCAGCGGCTCCCCAGCCAGCACTGGCTTCTTCTCACTAGGGCACCCTTTACTGCTTGAGAAGGGAGGGTCTTCTGGGCAGTAAGCTGGGGAGATGGTAAGCTGGTGGATTCTCATGCAGGAGGTCCATTCTATTTTACCCACCTCTCTGAGCCTTCTAAGCCTCCTGAGTACTCTTCCAAGGCAGTTTCAGCATCGCACCCTTGTTGGCTGTAGGCTGTCACTGTGCCTAAGCTTTAAAGACCAGTCAGCAGTTCACCAGGACTGGCTCCAGAGGGCCTTGCCAAGTGTTCAGTCCTGAATCAAGAGGGAGAGACCTCCGTAAACATTGTCTTTACCCAGCCTTGTATTCCTCCTCTCCCCAGCCCGACTCCCACAAGCCCACGTCTCCTCCCGTATGCGTTTCCCTGTTCTCCCCAGTGCATACCAGCCAGACCTGTAGCTTTTTTAGTAAGTTATGTCCTCCTGTAGCAGGGATTGTACTTTCCTGCTTGGGCAATGCTGAGACTCAACCCTAATTATTGGTCTAGAGAAGGGGCGGGCAAAGCGGAGTTCAGAAGCCAGCTGCCTGTTTTAAAATACAGTTTTACTGGAACGCAGACACACCCATTTGCTTACTTATTGTCCATGGCTGTTTTTGCACTATTATTTTAAGTTGTATAAAGGCAAACATGAGTAGTTGCCACAGAGGCCATGTGGCCCAAAATATTTACTCTGTCCCTGAAGAAAACGTTTTCTGACTCTAGTCTGCAGGCAGTGAAGGGAGGTGGGATGGTTCTTGAAGAAGATAAACATCATCTTATGAGGCATCCAGGTGAATCTTTGTATGGATTCAAGTAATGGGAGAGGATTCTGCTCTAGCAAGGGGAGAGGCTCAGGGAAAGCTGAGGGTCCAAGGTTCTCCAGGGCATACATTCAAGTGTCTCCATCCCAGGCCTCATTGCCTGACCCTTTCCCTCCGCCTGCAGCAGTCTCTCCTGGAACTTCACCACCTTTATAATCAAATCCTGAAGCTGCAGCCCGGGCTGGCATAGCTCAGTGGATTGAGCATGGGCTGTGAACCAAAGTGTCGCAGGTTCGATTCCCAGTCAGGGTACATGCCTGGGTTGCAGGCCATGACCCCCAGCAACTGCACATTGATGTTTCTCTCTCTCTCTTTCTCCCTCCATTTCCTCTCTAAAAATATATCCTGAAGCTGCGTATCAGCACCGCCTGCCAGTGGGCCACGAGAGGTGAGGGTGATAGAAGGCTCCTGTGGGGTCCTCTAGTTTCCTAGAACTTGCCCTGGGTTTAGCCTGTCGTTCTCTTTCTTCAAGGCCTCTAGGGCAGTTAACAAAATCCAGCCAGCTCTACAGTCCTCATAATTAGCACTGCCCACATCTTTTGAGGGTTCGCCCTCCTGCCTAGGTCAGTGTTGCCTTGGAATCCCACGCTACTCACCCCTCATGCCCTTTGCGCAGCTGAGTCTGGTCTTGAGATGCAGCAGCCTGTGGGGGGAATTGCCACCCTCCTCACCACT